GAAAGAAAGAAAAAAAAAAGGAAAGAAAGAAAAAAAAAAGGAAAGAAAGAAAAAAAAAGGAAAGAAAGAAAAAAAAAGGAAAGAAAGAAAAAAAAAGGCAAGAAAGAAAAAAAAGGCAAGAAAGAAAAAAAAGGCAAGAAAGAAAAAAAAGGAAAGAAAGAAAAAAAAGGAAAGAAAGAAAAAAAAAGGAAAGAAAGAAAAAAAAGGAAAGAAAGAAAAAAAAAGGAAAGAAAGAAAAAAAAAGGAAAGAAAGAAAAAAAAAGGAAAGAAAGAAAGAAAGAAAAAGAAAAAAAAAGAAAGAAAGAAAAAGAAAAAAAAAGAAAGAAAGAAAAAGAAAAAAAAAGAAAGAAAGAAAAAGGAAAAAAAAGAAAGAAAGAAAAAGGAAAAAAAAGAAAGAAAGAAAAAAAAAATGGATTGAGGCTTTACTGTGACCAAAAGAGGAGCAATGTGCAGTTCCCACCTGAACACTTCAGTTCACCAAAGCCACGTTCACATCTCACCGTACCCAGAGAAGTCAGTTGTGCCTGCCAGCCTGAACGCTCACATCTCTGCAGTTCAAATGGAGTTATAACACGATGGAAAGCACAGCAATGACAGAGGGGTAGCAAAGTTCTAGGCTGCAACAAATGAGGATAAGCTGAAATGCAGCAACAGCGAGCACAGAAACAAAGAAAAGAATCTGATTACCTTTGAAAGGCCTCAGGTAGGCAAGGATCTCCAGCAAAATACCCTCGCCTCCACTGCCAACCCTTAAATGAGTTCTGAGAAGGGGTGGATCCTGGCTCCAGCCCTTCCAGTCACTCAGTGTATTGCATGCACCTGAGCTCCCCTGGGCTGGCCCTGCCTTCCCACAGGTGCTCAATCACTGCTTTAAGTCCTGACTTAGCATTTCTGCTACAGAAAGCAATGCTTTGATATATGCATTTCAGTAGGGAACTTCTTTTGTCCTTAGCACAAAATGCTCATCTCTGAGAAGTCACCATGCTGGTGGCAGGTACTGACTGAGGTCCTCCTGCCAACTTCAGCAGTAAGGGTGCGTGTTCAGACCTTAAGGCATGAAAATTGAGCATAACATCCCAACAAATACCCAGCAGTGGGATGCACAGTTACTCCAAGTGCCCTTTCTTACATCTCTATTATTTTAAAATGGCTTATTGCTACTGGGCCCAATCTCACATTTTAAACAGCACAGATAGCTATACCACTGCCAAAGGGAGCAATAGGTCTCTGTCACCTGACATCACTGAACACAATCCCCCATTCAACCTAAAATCATTGAAAGCAATTCCCATTCAATCTGGGATTTGGAGCTTTGGCACAGGAACAAGGAGCTAAGATCATGTTTGACCAGTTTTACAGAGGGGTCACATGCAGTCATCTTAACAGTTTCTAACAATCTCAAAGGCCAAGAATCCATCAGAGCACCATTAAATTAGAACGTGAATTTGCAATTATTTTATCAGCAAGAGGCAAGATAGCTGTGGACCGATTGCAGTCTTCTTTTAGGAGATGCATGGTTTTAGCACCTGGCAACTCACTGCTCTGCTGCAGGGTGACAAGCAGTCCGTGTTCAGCAGCCATCAGATTTTAAGGCATCACTTCTGGAGTGGAAAGACTACAAGGGATTCAGTGCATCACCACACTGCAACAGTGCCATGTGATCTGCTACCCAAGGTCTAGCATCTATTTGCTCTGTTCCACTGAGTGAGATGATAGGATCCAGGCACGTGTTGCTTGCTTGTCAAAAAAGAGAGTTTGCTTGGCAAGTAGAACAGGGAAGAAAGCACACTGGAACAGGCTGTCCGAGGAGGCTGTGGATGCCCCATCCCTGCAGGCATTCAAGGCCAGGCTGGATGTGGCTCTGGGCAGCCTGGTCTGCTGGTTGGTGACCTGCACACAGCAGGGGGTTGGAACTGGATAAGCATTGTGCTCCTTTTCAACCCAGGCCAATCTATGATTCTATGGTATGATTCTATGATTAGTCTGAAGAAAGGTATTTCAGCTTAGAACAAGGTTCACTTGTTACTTTTTGCTCAGCAAACATGGGGGTTTTTTCAGCCTTGGGTGAACATGAAAGAAGTATCCTGACTATGCGCTGCAGCCTGCAACCTTCCTGGCCCCTCTCCTTTCACATCACACCATTAGCACAGCAACACTTCACATCTCTACACCTGACAGTAGCTCTACCAACAGTTTTTGCACTGTCTCATCTATTCTCAGAGTCCCTGCCCCTCCAGCCATGGTGACACCAGGCCCCAAGGCTCAGGCACTGGCAAAACACGTTGCTGTATTGCTGCAACTGCCTCATTGCACAGATTTCCATCAGCAAATGCCATTCAAAGCCGCATCTGTATCTGGAGTTCAGCATCTCTATGTAAGCTTTTTTCCATGTAACTTAGTGCTTTTCTCTATTTTTTTAGTTCAGTGGTTTTACAAAGATGCTCTGTGACAAATGAAAGACAATTTACCATGCGTGCTAAAAAAGCAGAAAAAAAGAGACTGTTCCCGAGCCATACTAAACACTGCTGCAAATCTTATTCAAGAACCCCAACAAGTCCACAGCCCATCTATATCTCTAACACAACTCAGCCTACCTTGCACAGCTCTTCCTTACAAAAAATACCATGCAGGTTTCTCTGCTGTTAGCTAAGGCTGAATGTAAGCTGAGGGCTGCCCAGAATTCCTGCAACTTGTTCCACAGAGAAAGGCGCTGTTAATTTGCAGCCCTTCTTGCCAAATTAGCAGCAGATAAGGTCAAAGGATTCAGACAATAAAAGGACTGTATTGATTACAGAGGTATGCAAAGGTAAGGGTGCTTACAGGGACAGAATGAACACTGACTTTTATCAATTAATGGTAATATATTTATCACCGGACTCCAGCCTATGCTGTTCGAAGGGCTTCATTAAGTGTTTTGCTGCTCTCAAAGGCAAAGTGTAATGAGATGTGGAGAACCTTCCCTTTCCCCTGGAGAAGAAGGCACATGCCCAAAAAGTCTCAGCACATAGGTGCACTAAGGTATAAGTACTTCTGTTGTGCTTTACACCACTCCCCACACTGCATCTGCTGCTCACAGCACTCAGTGATAAAATCGCTGACTCCTGGGACTCCTTGACTGCAGCAACTCCAGCTCCTGCAGTGCTTTCCATTTCAAGTGCAAATGTCCCAAGCAGTCTCTGAGGCACCAGAGATGCTGCACTCATTCTGCTGCTGTTTCTCTCTTTCCTCTCCTGTAAAATACCTTGTTTTTCTTGTGATGAAGAGCTCAGGGTTCACTTCACTGAGATGGCACTGTGCTATTTATTGTACTTACCTTCATATGGTTTTCTCTAAGCAAATCTCTTGGTTTTAAATTCTATGCAGGACATCACTTTAACAGTGAGAAGAGTGGGGTTGGCCTCAGAGGAAGGCACAACCTGGTTCCTGGATCCTTTTATGTTAGCTAATGGTGATCTCAGCCAGTTTTACAGCATTCAATAAATTAACCTTACAACACCCATCCATGAAGCTGCATTCCAGGTTCACGACTGGGAAAACAGCCAAATACAAGGCCCCACTTACATCCAAGCAGCTTCACAGGTAAAGGCAGGCTGCAGCTTGGGAAGATGATGACCTACCAAGGTGATGGGACAAAAAATAAATGAGCCTGCACTGAAAACCAGGATCCTGTTGCTCCTATCACTGGAATAAACATTGGTTTTGTCCATTCAGTACTTGCATGGAGATGAAGTAAGGCAATATTGGTTTAGATCCTTAAAAGTTATAAGCATGTTCTTAGGTACAGTCAGATAACTGGCTGAAAGATAAGGTTTGTATTATTTCAGAGATACAAGCTGACCAGAGAGACCAAGTGAAAATCCACTGACAAGGAAAAAGATTGGGAAAAGTTCATGTTCACAATGTTCACATTGCTAATTATTGATGAGAAATGTTCTTCCCTCTTGAACTTGGAAACTGTCCCATAGCAGGACCTGGCTTTTTTCATTCAAGTAGATCCATGAAACAACTCCACATTCTTGTAGTTTATATTATGAATCCTCTGCTTCAAACAAAACCTCTCTTTTTACTGCACTGACATAAGGAGATGAGATGAAAGATGGTCAGAGATGAACAAATTTCCTCTTCCACAAGCATGCTCAGAAAACATCTGCCCACAAACAAACTACAAAGCATAACTCTGATGTCCTCACCCAGTTTTAGCATAAGCTCGCTCTCTGATTCTGAGAATCAACCCTCCTCTTATTTTTTTCACTACAACATAAAAATGCACATGCTGCAATTTTCAATTCACAGGGGTAATTAATGGTGAAGTTCTGCTGATGCTTGACTCGGAAGAAGCAAAATCTGGTTTGTTAGCTCTCTGCAAAATCTCAGGAGGGTATTATTCCCTTCTGTTCTTCAGCTAGAATTCTAATTAATTAAAAGTAAGTTTAGAGAAAAAGGAAAACCTCAGATTTTAATTGCATTCACAATTTGCAGGTTTACTAAAACCAAAGAAACGCGAGCAGGCAGATGTGGCTCACACTTGGATGATTTGCAATGGCAAAGAGAATTTCAAGCAGTTTTTTCACCTGTGAACATTATGTTCTGATAGATACATCACAAAGAATTACTCCAAACACAGCCAGCTCCACATCCAAGGTGGCAGAGGATGGAACTTACACTCTGGTTTTGCGGGGCACACCAGCACATGTTTACCACAGGGCTGCCAGGTAGTCTCACAAAGCAATGAGACTGCCTGCCAACACGAGCATCTCAATGGGCAAAATCCTCTAACCAAGGCTGTTAGCAAAGCAATGCTTCTTAATTAGTTCTACTGTGCTGGCCTTCATCCACAGCCTGTAGGGGCACGGAGGACAGTAAGGAATAAAATGGAGCCTCTGCCTGCCCGCTGCAATTGCACAGCATGTGTAGAGAGGGACTGCTCTCACCTCTCAGCACTGCAGGCAGCACTTGCAAGGTGCAGCATCTACAGCACTGCACAGAGTCAGGTTCCCTATTTCATGGATGTCCTTTTATAGTTACTATCACTCCATTTTTTCTAATACACCTGTTGACTCTGTCATCTATCCCATGTCCCCATGCTTCAGGCATATTTATACATCAGGTACTCAGCACATAATTTTTCTGCCTAGTGAAGATATCCCACTTACTTCCACTCTTAAGCAGGCGTTGTTCCTCCTCCTTCAGCCTGTTCTGCATCAGACGCAGCATGTTTGCTGCTTCCTGTAACAGGTGAGAAGAACTGAATTAGAAAAGCTGCCCCATCATCCAGTCAAGTAGCTAATTGGATGGCTCTACAGCAGCAGTTAAGGGCTCTCACAGGCAAAACGAAACAAGAAAATTTCATCATCGAAAATAATTTATGGACAAAAGATCTTAGGTGAAGTTTGGGAACTCCTACTTACTTTGCCCACGAGGTCAGGATATAAAGCATGTACCCACAAACAGTGCACTGAAAATCAACCACACGTTCCAACCAGGTGAAACTTCACTTATCACACTGAAAATGAGTTCATTCATCTTCATCCCAAAGAACATCGCAACCATTACAGAACAAAGAACTCTTTGCAAAGTGGCCTTCGGTAGATTTTTCAGCCAATATGCCAATAAGCACCAGAAGTGGTTTGTGAAATGATTGCAGCTTTCTCATACATAAACCATAATGGAATCAATTCACCCATTCCCACATATGCAAACAAAATAGGAAGAAACAGCCCAACGAATGAGCTGAAAAAGTACAGCCTGACAGTGTCTTACACTAACAGGGGGCACTGTGATATTGTACAGAGTTTGGGTGCATAGGAGAGCCATGGCAGTAAGACTACATAAGGTGGTTTGCTGATTTTTAAATGTAGCAGGCTGTTAGGTAAAAAATATGCTGAGAAACACTGTGGTAATGACAGTATGCTAAAGTTGTGACATGAAGGCTGCTAAGAGCAAATGGAAAAGGGCAAATGGAACAGGGGCTGCTGTGCTGAGGAGAAGCAAATCGCCATTCACAAGCCTTCAAATGAATGACAATGGTAAAAGAAAGTGTTACAAAAAGGCCTACAAGGGCTTAAAAATCCTCAGACCTGCAACTGATAAAAACTGTGATGGATTAGAAAGGCAGAAGTGGGCTGACGGGAGCAGGGCAGTGGTGGGTAGAATCACAGAATGTAAACCAGACACTTTCATTCTAGCATCATGGATTGGTAAGAAAGCATGCCTGCCTCTGCAGACAGTAACAGATTGCAGTGAGTTTCATCTTCTGGGATGAACATCACAAGGTGGACTAAAGGTGAGAACGAGATGTGGGCAGCCAGGATCTGCAGCATGGGCCCTTCCCAAGAGCTCTCTCTGCAACACCATGCCCAACATTTTCCAGCCGAGCCACCAGGTGCTAGTTTCATTCTCCACCTCTACTTCCCTATCTGGTTTCTCCCAGTCATCCTTAAGATTTAAAGATAATCAGCGAAAGCACAGAAATGGATTAAACAAGTCTTGCACCCCTCCCCAGCAAACATTTCCAGCACAGCCCCACGGCACCGTGCCTTTGGGACCAAGGGTGCAGGCAAAGGAGCAGTGCTGAGCAGCCCCAGTCTGACTCCATGTTCTGCAGCCTGCACAGCACACACAGCAAAGAAAACCAAAGGGAGGTAACAAAAGTCAGGGCACATCCCAGATGCTATGGGAACAAGTGCATAAACTTAGAAAACATCTTTAAAATAGATCTGTTCACAGACTAGGGAAATGATAAGAGCATATGCTCAACAGGATTGTCTGATCCTGTTATCCCATGCATACATTAAGCCACCTGCTCCTTTGCTCCTGCTCTGGTGCAAACATTTGTGCAGATACACAACAGAAATCCAGGTGAAAACTAATCCACCCAAATGAAATTAAGCCAGGCCAACTCTCTAGCACAGCTGGGCGTGCTGCTGACTCACACAATGCACAGCAGTGTGCTGCTGTGGTGGACAAGGAGGGGGTAATGCTTCTTTCAGCTCCAGTGCTGATGTGTGTGCTTAAAACGCAAGAGAAGTGGAGTGTCAGGAAATCTCTTAGCATGCAGCTGAGGCCTCTCCCCCCTCCTGCAGGTACCAGTAACACAGCTGACCTCGCAGCGAGCAGCTCAGAGCTCACTGGCAGAAAACATGTTGATTTTCTTCAGGCTTAGATCCCTGCATAGCTTGATGTGCGGTCAGATAAACACCACAGGGAGCTGCTGAGGCTGGATGCCATCATCCTTTTCAAAGCTGCTCTTCCAGCACACGAAGCAACATCACACGAGGGATCCCAGCAGAGCAGCACCCTGCCCACCCAGTGGCATGGTGTGGGATGGCACAGTGACAGCGTGGGGTCTCTGGGGCACCCTGGCAGTAGCTGGATGTGCAGAAGCAGGTGAGCAGCAGCCAGTATTGAAGCTCTGCTCAGTCTCTCTGGTAAACAAACGCAGCTGAAATGCTGCAGGCAAGTGCTGCACATATCCTACCCCACAAGCTAAATCCCAAATTTAGAGGCAGCATATGCTATGGAATCATGGTGTCAATTAAACACAATTAGTGTGGTGCCAATGAATGCAGAATCAGAGCCAGTCTGCCCCATCAGAACGTGGCCCTGGGCCTTCCAGGACACCTGAGACTGAAAGTCCTGTCCTAAAGGCAGACAGATCTCTGCTGAGATGCAGCCCTTCTCTTCGATATGCAGCCCTTTCCAGATGTAGATCTACCCTTCACAGAGCAATCCTGTCAGTCACCTTGCAGGCTGAGTGCAGGCAGCTCAGCACAATGCGTGGCCGTGCAGGATGCTGACACAACAACCCAGGCTCCAGGGGATGTGAGGAAGCGCCCACCCCAACCCCTGCTCCCAGCAGGAGCAGCAATGGGATTGCAGCACTGTGTGCCCCAGCTCTTTGGGTGCTAAGAGATTCCCAGGACAGAGCCTGCTCAGCATCCTGGGCAGCCTGCTCAGTGCTGCCTGGCCAAAGGGGGAAGTAATGATCTCCAGATCAAGTCAGAACCATTTTGCACTGCTAATGACATGTCCATGCCTTTAGCATACAAGGGTTGTGCTCAACTCCACCATAAATACACTGCCAGCCATCCTCAGCAGCCCTGTGGGACAGATAGACCCAACCAGCAGCAAGAAGCAATAGAGAATCCTTCTGTTGACGCAGGAGGCTTCCTAAGCAAATGAGCTCTGCCTGCATTTACAATGATCTGTGCTTTTTTCATGCTCATCTCAAGACTGTCCAGCTGAGCAAGAACATTACTCATCTCCAGCACGATGGATGCACTCTTCCAAGACAGATGTGTGTTCCTGATAGAATGGGGCTTGAGTGAGCACAATGCAGATGCTCCTTATCCTAACGTATTTTAACCAGCAAAGCAGGCAACTTTTCCTCTCACATCTGGCTACGAAATTATTTGGAAAACAGCGATGAGACACAACATGTCTGTTTGACAGTGCTTTTCTATAATCTAATCCACTGTCCTACAGACAAGTGAAACTTCAGCTGCAAATTCCTGCAGCGGAGCAAATGGCTTTGAGAATCCTTTCACAGAAACCTGCACAAAGCAGAGCCTGAGAAAGAGTTTCTCTTTGATTGGCTTCTTATTTAATATGAATTTCAATTTCTTGAAGAGAGAGACCGTTAAACATCATGTAATTAAGACCACTGGCAAAGTCCACACAGCTGAGTGCTGGATGTGGGCACGGGGAGGAGAGGTTTTGCTTTTGTTTTGCTGTTGTTTGCTTTCAGACATCCAGACCCATATGCCACCACATTAGAGAACGCCCTCCAGCAGCTGACCCACACATCACAGCAGCTCTGCCACCCACTCACTGTCTGACTTAGGGAAGTGACCCACGACTTGAATAAGCCACGACTTCCTGACAGGCAGTCCTTTCTGACAGCACTAACGCTGCTGAGCGTTGTTCTAAGCAATAAAATCAAGTTGCTGAAATCATTCAATTGTAGACAACTCTTACCCATTCAGACTGAAGAAGCAGCAAATCTAAACAGGCTGGGGAGAAGAAAACCAAAACAGATGCACTATTTGATCACTGAGGGCATCTCAGTATTTTCTTCTTAAGTTAACATCAAAATTGTAGTGGGGGAGTTGTGGAGAAAATGCCAGCAGGATTTTGAATACAAAGGACACATTTCATGGAGCCAGCTGAGAGACAGCGTGGTTACTAATGAACGACGACAAAGAGAAGAAATGAAGAAAATACCACAGGGCTAAGTGTGAAGGAACGCCAGGACAATGACTGACCATGGCTGATTTGCTTTTTGCCCAGATGCTAACATCTCAATTTTTGCCTGGTTTATTTCTTCTGTTCTCTGCCATCCTCCAAACCCCAGAAATCTCTCTCAGCATCTTAGTAATGTTTCGTTCTGGTTTTCTTTTTTTTTTTTCCCCCAGTGATTTGCTAGAGCATATTGGTAATCCTCCTGCTCTGTAGTGCACTCGAAGGGAACCAATTTGAGGATGGATTGAACGCCTCATCTTCACCTTGCCTATTAATCTCAGCAGCCGTTTCTTGCTTTGTTATAGAACAAAGGAGCTGAGATTAGCTCTTGCTGCATGCACACAATGGGATTTGTTTTTCATAATAGAGTGTTGCCACTCATTCAGTAGGGGTGAGATACAAGGACTTGGAAAAATTGCTGCCTGAAGAGAGAATGTGACAGTACTCCTAACAAGAGGAAGGCTGCTAGGTGCAGCAGTGAGTGGGGAACACGGTACCACGGTCCGACTGCACAAAGTGCAGCCTGCCTGAGCTGCTTCTGAAGACTTGCAGACAGTGCTTCCTATCCTACTTTGAATCACCTCACCCCATACGAATGTCTGGCTTTGTGATTTCATTTGACCGCAATGCTTTGAAGTTTTTCCCCTTTCTTTGGAACAGGCTGCCCAGAGCTCTGGGTGCCCCATCCCTGGAGGTGTCCCATTGATGGGACCCTGGGCAGCCTGAGCTGGTGTGGGGCAGCCAGCCCATGGCAGAAGTTGGAACTTGATGATCTTTAAGGTCCCTTTGAATCCAACCATTCTGTGATTCTATAATTTCTATTTTGCTGAAGAATGAAGACCCTGGGAGACAGAAAAAATGCACCTGAAAAAGTGAGGCAGCAGAATGCTTGCCTAAAGGCTTGCTGACCAACCAGGATGTGCAAAGGAGCATTGTCAGAAACGATGCTGACAGCCTGAAGACGTGGGGGCACTGGGAAGAGTGGG